CGCTACCTCAGTACCAGTCTAAGTCCTGCCGTCCCTGCTGTTGGGGGCGTGCTCTTCCTCTTTGTCTTTTTTGTGCTCCTTCGCACGAGTTTCTCTGACCCTGGAATCCTGCCTCGTGCTGCACCAATGGAAGTGCAACGTATGGAGGGTTAGTTGACTATGGTGGCTTGTAGTTGTATGGCATTGCTTCTGCTTTGTTTTTACCGTCTTCCTTTTCTAGTTCATTTATTAATTGAACTTGGAATGTAGGATTTGCTCAGCATTCTACTTGGTCCGATTGACCGTTCTTGCGTGGCAAGATGTTGGGGTTAAATTGGGTGTCAGCTATCGTAATTCTTGAAGCTGTGATATTTTTCTGAATCGAGCTTAGTGTAAATTGGGGAGTTGTCGAAAATGTAGACACGATGGTTCTAGGAGTTTTCCGCGGCTGCCACATACTTCGCCACTTTTTGCGGATTTATTTGCCCATACGACGTGCACAAGGAGAGTCGCCTTAGTGGGACTGCTTAAATGTCACTTGAGGTTTATCTCTTCTAAGTTGTTTTCTGCTTTAATCATTAGCCCCTCACTGGAGTTGGGTTTTGGTGGATGGATCCCTCTGGATTGTAGTAATGGAGGTAGAGATCCGCAATGGAGCAACTGCAATGATACCTCTTTATCCCCAATTTTATCGTTTATATTGTACTGACTCCTCTCTGATGTAGGTTCGTACTAATTTGGAAAGATGCTAAATTTTTCGGTTACATGTTCCCACGTTGTTCCACTTGAACTAGGTCCTCACTAACAGTATTTCATGGATTCTGTAGCACTCACTTTTCGTACTTCTCAATTGTTGGTTTTTTGGGCGGAATTCGAATCTAGAGATTCCTGAACATTCTAGACAAGTTGATCAGTATCTTTTCTTCCTTTGAACACCCAGCGTAGAAATTGTTTGGATCCATGGAACTTCCTAATTTTTGTGTTAGCCGCACGCTTTTACCCTCTACTCTTTCTGTTTTAGCCTTATATTTGGAGGCCTTTATGAATCCCACGTGGACATGTCGATGTTGGTGGGTTAGACATTACTGGTGGGGGTTTTTCACATGCAGTTTCTTGAGGGTGTTGGTTTGGTTTTGTTTTACCTTCTTCACTCCTACCATTTCCAACCCCTGACCCCAGCTGGCATCAAGATTTGCGGCCATTGCACATTTATTCTATGCGTGTGTCAAGTTTTATTTCTGCTTGAGGTGTCAGCAGGGTCTTCTCGAGCTACTTCACTACTTGTCAATATGGAGCAGCCCAAGCCACAGTTGGAACTCAACAGTTTTGCCCAAGTAGGCAATTGTCTGAATTTTTGGCTATTCACCCAAGTTGGGTTTCGTCTCGACGTTTCACAGTCAGAATCTGTTAGACCTCAATGGTATGGCTGGCCTCGAGGCGCCCTGTGAGGTAGGATGTAATGAAGTGATGATATTTTTTGTGCCCGGATTTCACAATTCAAGCCATTGCCGGAGGTATATGTCGCCGCAACAGCTTCAAAAGAAGATATATTGGTAAATGATGGCGGCAAAGTGGGTTTGGCCAATTGGTGATAATGGTGTAAGCATTCTACACGGATGAGTTTTGGTTGAGTTGAGGGTTATTGTTGAGAAATGCAGTGAATTCTCATCGAATGAGCAAGGGCTTCTTTTTGGCTGGATTAGGTGACCACAAGAGGGGCTCTTCAAGTGTAGTGCCAGGAGGTTTCGTTACCCCTCTTGGTTTTGTATGGTTTCTACCCTTCCGCGTCGATTACTGCTGGCCATTTGCTTCAATTTTGGTGGTTTCCGTAATTGTGCAAGGATTCTGTCACATCTTCCCCACCAGTCCTTGGTAACCGCCTGCATCACGTCGTGAATCGGAGTGCTGTAAAGGGATTGAGTTTAAAAGAACGAAGTAGCTGTTAGTTTTCGGTGTATGAGAGCAAGAAGAGTATGTTTTTGTTGGTTTTTAAATAGTGTAGCTTGGAAAGGAGTATGTTATGTATGTTATGTATGTATATTAGCCTCGAGTCACTATTGGGGAGAGGAAAGTCTGCGTGGAATTGCTGATTACGTTGTCCCGAATTGCATGATGGTTAGGTTTACACTTTTCGGAACAATGAGGTGTACTGATGAGTAGACTGACTTGGCAATGAGACGTGTCTATGTGGACCAGTTGAATTGCCCTCCTGCCTTCTACCTTCCCTTTTGTCGATTTGTTTTTACAAAATATAGTTGCTTGTAAATGTGACTGGATTAAAAGAGGCCATTGAAACAACAAAATAGTGGACGTTGTGAGAAGTAGTCAAAAGAGTGAAGTAAAGTTGCCTAGCTTTTAATGAGCCCACCTAAGAGGTGAATGTGATAATCTTCGAAGTGATGAATATGAGGTTAAAGGTAGACCGTTAGAAGTGTCTTCTGCTCCGCACCCATTTACCTAACTGTTGGCAACAATGGGTCACCACTTTGTTGAGATGCCAAAGTTGTGGCGTTGATAATAGACTAGACGTGTTTTCACAGGACCTTGATTATTTGCACAGTACTGTACACAAACATCCATTTGGAGGTGAACATTTTGTCCTTTAATGCTGCTTTACCACGATGTCCCCGAGGGGAATCAACCACCACAGCCACTCACTCAGGCGTTATGTTATTCTAATGTGGCACCAACGATTGCGTCATCAGATTGTCCAGTCAACTGCTGCTCACTGAGTAGAAGGGAATAATGATCCACCGACGAATGACATTTTGGGCGTACTTTGTTGCTTCAGGCTGAATACATTTGTCCGTGTCACACAGTTTGGTGGCACCAACCATTGTGAGGTGATACAGAACGGACGGCACATACTGGTGATTCGGAGGCCGGAGTGAGATGAGTAAATCGGGGCGACCCCTGTAATGCTGGCAGTGAACGTGTTAATGACTCAGCACACGCAGCCAGTGTTTATGTCATTGACTCCTCCCTCTGCCGAGAAGAGTAGCAGACGTGGTTGGTGACACTGGTTGTGAAGTGCGTCGATGGCTGTTGTAGACTGGATTGCCAATTGTTATAGCCTGGTGTTGTGTCAGTGAGTCTCGTGGATGCTATCGACACCGCCAACCAGATGAGAGGTAGATGGAATAGAGAGTGGATGTCTTCACTAACCGACGTAGTGGGTGGGAAAAGGAGGCACGATCAGTGCGTAGGTGCCTGGTAGCCGTAGGACTGAGATTGCTCGATGGTGAACCATCGTCCGGCGCATTCAGCTAGGTGTATTTATAGTAAATGAATAACCTTGGCCTT